GCTTTCGAAAACCGGTCAGTGTAAAAATGGGAATTAAAAAAATTTTATATAAGCACTTTCGATACACCAATTTATCATCATTTAATAACATTGTAATAATTAACTAGAAGTACTTCAATATAATTTTCCTTGGACGTACGTTTGTAAATTAAATAAATTTTCACAAAAAGAAAGTGTTTTGACAAAAAAACAATATAAACCATAGATACTAATACTTTTGTTTGGATAACGAACTGGTAATATTTCACACAGTGACAACCTCTTACCTCTGCGGGCGTCTGTTGATCTAAAACCTACCGAGCCTATTTCAATTCAAATCTGATTACATATTTCTTGTACCAAACAATTTCTCTAGAACAGATTGTTATTGGTTTGCATTTTATAAGATTAGGTTGTCAGGTAGTTCAGAAGTGGAACATCTATTAATTGTAATTATTTAGAGGTGTGCGAGTCAACTATATCATATAAACTAATAATAACTCTGAAAAAGTGATCTTCGATACGTTAAAACAACAGGCACCGTTCGGACGACGTGTTCGATCGAACAGCTATTTCTTTTGACGACATAGATAATTATGGGTAATTTTGTCAGATGATCTTCTTGACTTGCGTTCAGTAAATATATACATATTATGGACTATAGTTGACTGCGCGTTTGGAAAACGTATACCCGGTTACCAAAACAGAAGCAATGACACACGATGATCAGACTAGGTAATTATTTAACAACGTTGCACATCGCGGTCTCCTTGTACGCTCTTAACAGTCTTGGAGACTTCCTAAATAACAGGGCTCCGACCAGTGCACAGTCGACGATAATACTATTACATGTCTATACGAGATCACTGCACATTGCGTGTCCTTACTGAGGTTTCAGTATTATTATTAATCCAGATAATTCAACGGTAGGTGTCTGGTGAAGTGTCATTATATGTTCAGTGACATTTAATGAATTTCTTTTGCCGTGATCCCGTTTATTACCCTCACATTCGACTACCGCGTACAATCTGCCGCGTGGGAACGGATAGTTATGTTGTCGCGATATGAGTAAAAATTGGTAATTAGGATTAATTCCGTCTTGTTATACCTAACGATAAATTCTTCAATTCCACAGAGTTCATAATTATACGAGAGAAGTGTAACAAATGTTTGTAAAATGTCTGTGCTTTCACTAAAAAACTGATTGCTTAGGTCTATAAAATCGCGTTATGTTTAAACGAGGGTGAAAAATAAATAGAGATTTATATCGCATGACAATATTAACGATGGATGTACTAAAATTTAAAAATTATTACTAAAAGTTACTACCAAGGGGAATCTACTGAAAAATATAGTTTAGAGTTGTTACTAAAAATAATAGTATATAAGTTTAACTATTTTAGTGATTATATACAGCTAAAAAATGTTAGAAAGCGAATTTTTAAATCAAACGTTACTGTACAGTTGTTTTACTTTTATGCGCGTTCAATTATTTTTGGCTATTTTTGATTAAACTAGTGATACCCGTGCGCTCATAATAATAGTGGTTTTCATCGAACAGTCAAGTGAAAATCTTTTTATTCCACACACGACGTGACTTATTGTCTGACTTTAAAGTAATGCGAGCAAGATCGTTTAAGATAAGCAGTAGACGTGTGTTTGATGTTTATACTTACAGAACTACAATGTTATTACACTGCGATTCAGTTTTTGAGAATAAACGCTTTTTACTTCAGATTTGATTTTGAAAGATAGTTTATCTCGGGAGACAAGAAATATAAAAGAAAAAGTTGTATCAAAATAATTCTGTCGTTTTTTGTTTAGTGTCTTATGCTAATATTTTATACTGAAATGTAATATGATGCTTAAAACTATTCAATTGCAAATATGTTGCATTTCGAAAGTAAAATCAAATTTTGGGTTTTGTTGGTTAATTTTTTAGCGATGACGTGATTGTATTGACTTGTTGACCGATTATTTGTAACGATCCGCGTTGCCCATGCCAAATGTTAAAGATGTACAAACATTTTCTCAGCCCGTATAGTATTACAGTAATAGTAATAATAAAAATAGTATTCGTAAGTTTATGTACGGCGAGGTCATTTTGAAGTCACGGTAAACGCATAAAATATTGTTTTCTAAAGTACATAATAATAATATTTATTTCAACAAGTAGGTACCAATTTTGCCGCACTTTATGTCCGATCCAATGAACCGTCGAATTGAGAAGACGGATGTTTCATTTATTCGATTGTCATTATAATTTCATACTTATTAACATAATAGGTTATTTCACAAGTGCAAGTTGTCACTCGGACAATTCTCTTTCTAGTATTGTACAGCTTACAGGCGAAGTAATAGTAGTTAAAAGACCTACTAATTATGTTCGCACGTAATATCATATAAACAAAAATGATGCACAGACATTACCAACGGTTCAAAATGATGTGTTGGGTTCATATTCACACGAATTGAAGATATTCTCATGCCGTTGTGTGTGTATACGATCGTTAAAAGATATTTTATTATCATCTATTAATTAGTCCGGTTGTAATAACAGTATCCCTGTAATGCGACTTACGGAGCAAGTACCACTTTTATCGGGAATAGGATACGAGGAGGTGACGGAGTCTGCGACGGTTGAAAAATCGTGGTAGTATTTATCTATGTAGTTTATACACAACCGTGTTATTATTGTTATTGTTTACTATTACTATTATGATTATTACCATTACCACGGTTTCGGACAAAACAACCATTAAAAAGTCATAAGTGCACTACATCGCTGTACGTGTGTATCTACATAATGGAGTGATGTGTACCACTCGTGTAGGTATACTGTTAACGCGAAATGCGCTCGTCGGCGTTTTAATCGTAGCCGCGGTAAAAAACACTTGTGATTGCTTTTTTTTATTGTTGTCCGTAAAGAGGAAATTTATAATACCAGCATTAGTGTGTACGTGCGCGGGACGATTGATCGGACGGTATACGGTGGTGATCGACGGTCGAGATATCGACACACGGGACGACCCTCGTTCCTCCCATACGGCGTCGTCCCGTCCGCCGTAACAAACGTGTACTGGGCCTGAGCGGAGGAGGCGTTCCCGTCGGTGCTTATATTATGTACAACACATAAGTACAATGTGCACGGACGTCGGGGGTGCTAATTATTACCACTGGCTCGCGTTGTGTTACTCGGCACTTGAGCATTGTTACTGTTTATTATTTTGCGGTTTCATTTCATCCTCTTGTGCGCTCCGAGGTTGCAATTTGCCTCGCGCCAGGTCAGTTTTATTAAAAAAAAATTATTACTGTTTATTTTTAGCGGAATTCGGCCCATTTAATAATGTAACAACTGTAACCATAATGGTAAATATCACGAGTTGAGATGTTCAGTTCATTATGACCGAATACCGTTTAAAAAGTAATTAATACAATATTGATAACGACGTAACGACATTTGCGAATACTTTCTCTTTTATGCGCTTTATTATGACGGGCATGGTAACGGTAAAACGATTTTATTGCCGAATGGGTTTAACCGTTAACATTCTTTCGAATTAGATTTTAGCAATACAGTGTCTAATTCGTTGGAATGTCTCTGTAACGGACACATTGTTGTCGACGAGCAACTATAACATGTAAAAACACTACTTCACTTGGCTTTCATAACAGCCTCTTTATAAAAAACGTAACGCTCCTACCAATGCCACCCGGTATCCCTTACGAACGATTAATTCGTCGAACGTGATCTTCGGCGTGTAAAGTATCTACGGCCGCTGTTGCTGCAACGGTAGTAGACTCTATTAATACCGCGTACCTATACCTGTTTTGTTTTAATTTGTGTATGTCGTGTTACGGAATGTGGATCGCCGTTGTCTACGTAGAAAGAAATAAAAATAATAATATAAGATGCGCTTTGAAAATAATAATAATTACAAGACATACACTGGGGAAGACGCCCGGCCGGTGGCTACCGGAGGAGAAGAAATTCCAGATTTGTTCGGCGACGGGCAATTATTATTGTTGTAGTAAATTTCGATTCTACCGTATTTTTTAGTGTGTGTACAATATAACCTACACAAAGCTACAAGTTATTACCTTCGATCCGACCGATTGTCCGGCCCATCATCGCACCGGCACTTGACGCTGGCTCGTGGACGCGTAATTCGGTGCCGGCCTGTACGTACTACCGAGTTAATTACAAAAATAAGAATTAAATATCCAAAACGTAGCGCGTGCCCCGCCCCCGGGGCCTGGACGTCCTCCCCTGGAGATTTTCATAAAATTATTTTCAACGCGTATCGAGTATTTGAATTAAACCGTATTATGTTCGGTTTGAGTGTCCGACGTTTTAATAACAGAAATCACTTCTAATAATATATTATAATGTCGACTGACCACAGTAATTTATTTTTTAGAATATGAACAGTCGATTAAAAAGTCAAAGAACTTGTTCTATGTCGAACCCAATGTTGGCTACGTGGATTAATAAACGCAGTGGTTACTGAATAATATTATTTGCTTTTTTATATAATCGCTTTGATTTTTGTTATATTTTTCACGTTTAAATTAAATAAAAAGTAAAACTTTGTATATCACTGCTGCTTCGGTTGATGGATAAGGCATGTTCTCTAATTGAAGGGTGTTGTGTATCTGATGTAATGTGATAAAGGTTCCTTTTCCTGATCGCTGTTAGTGTGTGCACCTTGCGCACGCCTAAGATATCTATTAATATAATATAGCACGTCTTTATCTCGTGTAATAATTATCATTAGACGGGGTCATTGTCGAACGATCCGTGGGCGGACGTCCGCAGTTAGGAACCGTACTATGAAAAACGTTCATAAATTACAGATTTCTTTGGCCCGCACCCTTAGGTCGACTGGGGGAGGATTTTAGTGGTAACATTAATTATAACTATCATGACAGTGTTAAACACTACATTTACTCTCGTTTCGAGTGGGTTTTTTATTCGATAGCCATCAAACTTTAACGCTATTGTTTCTCTCTGTTTTCAGGTAATCTTTGACCGATAGTTGTGGTTTACTTTGAAATTATAGCGTCACAAGAAGAATTCGACCCGACGACAGGCTGCAGAGAATACAGAATTGACATGACTTTCAGGTGCGTGCCGGCATTTCAGCCACTGTCGTCCGGCACCGATTGCGCCGCACCTTGGGTAAGTACTCACCAATACTATTCAATGTATATAAATATCTCACACGGTACTGCGAGTGCAAAATGGTCTGAACCGAAAAAAATATTTACTGTAGGTACGGGTAATAAAGCCTTGCTAGACCTTATACAACCTTATGTGCTTACCCGCACATACCTTTTTTGATATATTTTAATTTGGCATAAGTTTAGGTCACTGTTGCGCTCAATCGTTCATAATTAATAACAATGTACGTTTAGAATGATCATAAATCTTGAGCTTATTTTCATTTCATGAAATATGATTTATTTTTTGCACACTGTGTAGTTGTTTGCGCGTGTTCCTTTCAAGGACTTTTGCTTTGTGTTGTCAGATATGAATTTGTTCTGTTACCGTTGCCATCGAACCTGCAATTATAAAAATATTTATATACCTTACCATTATAATATGTTTGCTCTGTATTATTTATTTACCGAGTATCAGGTAGTTATAGAGAAAAAATGAAACTCCGTTTTGCCATTTTTAGTAGGTTTTATAAAACTGTTAACTAACTATATAGAAGTTTGAAAATGGAGAAGTAGTTTTAGGGGCTAACTACGTAAAATATGTGTAATGTTTTAATAATTTTAGAATGATTCATCAAATAATCTTGAATAATGTTTTAACAATACATAGGTATACTAACAAAACTTTTAATTTAAAAATGTTATATCCAAATGCGATGAAATAAACACAAATTCACCTATTTATTTGTTTTTTCGAACGTCGTTCTTCCAATTTTTTCTTTAATGAAAAAATTGAATCGCTAAAGTCTATAACTACTGGGATTCTATAGTCTATTGCGCTATCTGTTGATATGATTTTGTTTAATTTACTAGTGCTGCCATCAAGCGTCATTAAAAAATTCTTAATAGAGTTATTTTTTAACGCTATGTAGATAGCGCTTCATGTACTATCATATGTGGTTACTACATTATTCGTTTTATATCTTTAGCTATACAAATTACAAATTATTGAAATTTTATAAATCACTAATATTTCAACATTACTTTCATATCTCTGATTATTTATTTTATATATCTATCCAGATACATTAATAAAACGCTGTATCGTGTAATTATTTAAAGAAGTAATTACCCGTGAATGAAAAAATGGGGATTCAGTTTTCAAAATTATGGTAGAGGATAAGAATAGTTGTGAGTTATTGACATAAACTTATTCGTTTACACTCGTAGATTATACGAATAAATTTTAATTTTTAATTATATTTAGATATTTTTTTATTAGAATTTGTTTCCTACTGTGCGTGGGCATATTAATGTTAATTATATACAGAAAACGTATAATCATAAATTGACTGCTTTCTAGTTTTGCGTAAATAACTTAATGGTATTTACTTTCAAAGAGATATATGAGCGTAGGCTGCGGACGTACAATTGTGGCGGGAAACGACTTCAAACTAGAATAACGTAAATTTTTTTAACGAATAACTGATAACGTATAATTAAAATAATACTATTTACTTATATTTTTCCTTAACCTACGCAAATTAAACGAATACCCATCATGAACTTTGAGCTGTTTAAATCTTAAGTAATAAATAGAAGTTATTATTTCCAAATCCAAACTGTGCTGGCCCATTGTTTGTTTGTTATTTTTTATGTGTTATTTTATTGCATAATATATTTTTATAAACTCTGATTGCAAATGGAAACTTTTATAATTTCGGTCTGTGTGCATATTGCTTGTGCCTTATGCTATATAGATATTTTCTTTAAGATGTGTCGTGTAACATTAAAATCAATAATTATTTTATAACCAACCCACAATTTGTGCATTTGTTTCTCTCATATCTGATCAAGAACCTTAACTGTCATACTTGAGTCGTATATTCTAAAGGGTTTTCTTAATTTCCAGATCATAAATCTTTGTTTCATTATAATTATATTTGTTCTGAATATTCACTGCCGCAGAACGACAGGTTAGGTTACTATGAGACTTCGGTTTAAACAATGAAATAAATGTACGTCCTTTGAAGTGCATAAATAACGTTTAGTGTCCTGTTTATACTCCTGTCTGCTTTACATCTTTAATAGACTATAGCCAATATACTACAAACGTAAATGAGACAACAATGGCAACAAAACAAAATAATAAAAAAACCGAAAACTACACTATGTATGCTCACGCATTTCACAAGTGACATCTCAATTATACTTTATGATGGTTTAATGCGTGCGAGGCGTCAAATAAAACATAATTCTTTTACTTTTCATTTATATTGTATTGTATTATATGAAAGCTGTTTTTTTTTTGTTATTAACCCTTACTTATTTCTCTGATTTTAATGTTCAAATACGTAAAAATTTCGTTGATGACTTGCCTGGAAATATTGAATATGTGTGCAGTCAAATGAAAAAAATGTAGTACTTATGTTAACAAAATGTCATTATTGAAACGTAACGTATTGCAGTTAAGAACAAAAACTATGTTAATAACATTTAGATACTATCGAGGAATATAGTAAGAGATAAAATCATATACTTTTTACGTGAAATTTAATAGAAATTACACTCGTATATAATATGGATATATGAGACTTAGTGGTTGTTACAACAGTCTGTGTGCAAGTCTATTAATGCATTATAATAACGTTTAATGGTACATAAAACGAAGTTGAAGAACCATAGCTCATAAACGTAGCTATATTTTAATGTTGTACATATTTATATATAAAAAAAGTTTTTGAAGTCTCATGCTTTTGAACAAAAATAATTATAGTCGTACCCTAATAACTTCCCTGACAATGGATATTCTAATATATAGTTCCGGTGTAAACATAAAGACTTTCATTACTTTCCATATAGAGATTTTAGTTGCAATTCATACTTTATTACTTAAAATAACGGAACGGTGTAATTGAGTAAATATTTTAGTGTAACGATGTTTTTTCATGTATCTTTTAATTTTAACGAGTGTAATAATCTAAAAATAGCTTGAAATTTATTTAAGCTACTATGGAAAGTTTTAAGATATTTCAATGATTGACAGATTCTGGTTTTGATTACTTCTACTATACATGCTGGATGTTTTGGCAGTAGAATAGTTTCTAATTATAATTATTGGTAAATACCATACTGACGAAGACGACCCGTTTATCTGAGCATAATTGTATTCTATTTTAATTAACGTGTTGTAATTAATGTTGCTTCACCTCCTGGTTTAATGAGACTAAATGTTTATTGCTATTTTTTTTACAATTTTTTAATTTGTGTCTCATAATGCAACTATTTGTATACAACAGAGGGTAGAAGTCACGGAATATATTATAAAATGTTCATATTAGCATTATACTTATTGGATTACGCTTAAAGTAGCTATTTTTATTTTGTTTGCTCAATATGTTGACATAGTTTTTTACTTTAATTACTCAAACGTGATCATAATAGTAATTCACTAATAATTCTTTAACGTTGCAGTGAAGATAACTTACCCTGTAGTAAAAACTATATAATTAACTATACATTATTCTTGCTGTGTCCCCTGAATAACATTCATATATGTGCGTTTCTTAGCTTATAAATGCATGATTAACACACATACTTAGCTTTCTCCCCTTCGTTTTACATAAAATTTTATCGTGACATTGATAATTAATTAACGTCGACTTTATCATTCTATAAGAAATATTGATGCGCATTAAATTCTACTGCAGACGTCTCAATGTATAGAAAAAAAAAAAATTGGCATTGAAAGAAACTCGGCAAACATCGTTGTGAGAGAGTTTGCTTTGATGTTACAGACTTTCGTTATCATGCACTATACAGGACTAGGGATGATGAACCGCTCGATGAACTTTGACTAATTTACACAATATCATTTCTTACTAACGTTGATGTAAATAGAAGGACTCATTGCAATAGTAAGATTTTGTGATGAACCATTCATCTCTTACCTAATTGATTATAAGAATAAGAGTTCTTCGATTATTCATTACAGTTAATTTATTTGAATTTTTATGTAAATTTGATTATTAAATCAAAAGTAATATTTTATTTCGAAATCGATCGGTGAATTAATCCGCAATTGGAATGAAAAGAACTTAAAAAATTTCGATCGACAGTAATGATGTATTGAACGGTCGACTGTCAAACACTGATCGATCGACCGACGCACTGTATCATAATATAGAACGATTTATGGGATCGGCCTGGTTGAGAGGCATTTTGCACCTACTCGCAATACTACGGCCACGGCTTATGTCTGAGGTCACTGACCAATTTTGGCGACCACTGAGAATGGGTGAGCTCCCAACCTCAGCTCGTTCTTAGCGTACACTCTATATGTGTGTGGTTCCGGCGCCCGGGGTGGAGGAAGAGAATGTGAACAGCGCGTGCGCGCAAACCTCTTCGTACGAGATCGCCTACTAACACACACACACAAGTATAAACCAGTTGGATGCTGCATGAATCGACCCAGACAATAATCGATATGATTATTCAAGAACCTATTCATAGGAGTCGTGCGTTAACTCGGCACTATCGATAGCGATAGTACTTGAACATCGATTCTTATAGATGTACAGCGTATAACGCGAGAAGAGAACTGGAGATAGGATGAGGCGCTAGACAGGTAAAACCGCTTCAGGGCCAATCCGCCGCGCGCACATAGCTCCGAGCCTTCCGCCGGTGGTGACCACTCTAGTTTTTTTACCATTCCCGTTATCGGTGCGTTATTTTTTTCTTCTACTCCGTTATCACTTATCTCTATCCTCCGGCATTTGTGCGCATTTATCAACCGGTCTATGCTCGGTAATACAACCCTCGAGGTCCTCGCGCAATGACGTCACCGCAATGAACATCAAAGACATACTTGTAATGGATGACGACGTAAATAACCACCCCGGGCGAGTCAACAACACAGAAGACCTTATCGATAATAATAACGGCGTGAAGCGTAAGTGTCGAGACGAGGACCACGACGACGACGATTACTTAGAGGAACTCCGGCATCGCCGTGGTAGT